CCCCAAAACCCCAAAACCCCAAAACCCCATCATATACTAAAGTAGACATATTAACAATATATTTAAAATTAATTTGCACTAAAATTTCATGTCTACTAAACAAAATAATAAAAGTTTTTAGCAGAGTAGGAATGCATTTAACCCAAATTATCAATCATTCTACAAAGGTTAGAATAGTCATGAAAATACTTCATTGAATAGTGATTTAACTTAACTTGGACTTTGTTTAGCTGGATAGACACCAAATCTTAACTCAAGAAGGCAAATATTTGAGAAGACTATAAATTTAAGTTGAGATAAAAGTTAAACTGCAGGATCTTAGTCAATCTCTAATCCTAGACAATCCTTAGCTTATCTAAACAGAGGATATATATAAACTGGAACTTAAATCGATGAAAATAGTGCCTCTCTGAATGCTACAGCTGAAAATAAATAGTGTTTTCTAAAGATGCCAAAGCTTTCGTATAAATAAAGTTGCGATACCTCACCTCAGAAAGACCTGAAGTTATTGTATAATGTAAAATCCACTTAGCTTAGAGCAGAGATTATACTTAGAAAACATAATGTTGAAAAATAGAATATACTGCATTCAAGATCTTAGATTCTCAATAAATCCTAGCAATCAAAATCTTAAAGCAAATCAAATAAAATGCTACTAATGAATTCAGAATACTTGCTTAACAATTTCGCAAGAGTTAAATAGATGAGAATTTAAGAGAGGAACAGTAATTAGTTGAAGCTTAGATTCAGATATTTCTTGAATAAGTAGTCACAATGAGATTTAAGTGATGAAGGGATTAACCCAACTATGATAAATGATTATCACAGTAAAAGCACAAATAGAACTTTTGATAAAAAAGATAAGTAAGTAATAAATATACTAGGACAGGCGAAAACAAGTAGACATACTATAAATCATTCATTAAACAGGTAAACTCCTGAGTTCATTGAAACAATCTAAAACCAAACAAATGATAAATCGGAAATGAAAAACCAAGAATAAAAATAGAATTAATTCAATTATTAGTTTGACGCTGAGTGGGATTAAGATAAAGGTTCAATGCTTGAAAATAAGAGTGAGTCCTAATATAAGATTTCTGATAAACAGTAAAAGATGATGCTGAAGTTTGAAAGAATAAAGAATGTAATAGATCGGGATTATATGTAGTAAGTTTAAACTGTCCAAAGATAAACTGATCCTATCCTCATAAATGAAAAAATAAAAGCAAAAGCAGAAAATGACAATACTTTGACACAAGAAAAGGTAAGAAGTACCTTAAAACAGTGCATGATTAAAAATGAGAACTCGAACGAACTTATAAAGCCATTAAAGACATAAGAAATAATTAAAGAAGTTATCTAGAAGTTAAACGTGCAAAAGTCTCAATCAAGATAATTTAGGACTGAGAAAAATATCACTACCTTGTAGAGTAAAAGCAAGAAATTTGTGAATAATGAATATCTTAATATGGACGATGAAACTTTCATTTAAAAGCTGAACCAGAATAGAATGTATCTTAGGCTCAAAATGATTTAGGTATAGGAGGCGTAGAAAATTCATAATCACTTACTACATAAATAATGACTTTCTTGATTAAATAATACCTACAATATCATTGTTCTACATAAAATCTCAGCTATTTAATTTCATAAGCGTGTCTCATTTTAGATTTGATATCTACTATGTGGGGTTTTGGGGTTTTGGGG